CCAAATCTTCCATCCGGATGCTTAAACGTAGGCATAGATTAAGTGCAACAAAGTGGTAGGATAGAACTTGCATTTCATATTTCATCTATTCCATGAACGGAGCAGGGAAAGATACACGTTATATCACAATGAATTGGTCCCCGTCTATATAGAATATTATTAAGTAATCTACATTTGAGAGATGTTAGAGAGAAAATATAATATACACAATCTTAATCTGGGTGGAGTTTATTTAAATAGAAGATTTAATAAAGTAGTAACTATTCGGCTAACATTGGAGAAAGATGTTTAATTACCCTTCTTGATAATTTTAGGATCTTTATTTTTTTCCAAGTGGAATAAACACTTTGAGAAGTACCCTTTCTCATTTAGTGAGCCATTAAAAAAGTTGAATCCAACAACACGAACATAAGAACAAAAAAACTATAATGTAATGGGATTCTACTACGGGTTTGGATCTTCTATTTTCGAGAAAATTCAGACAGTAATAACACATAGTTAAAAAACACATATTGTTAAAGTCTAATTTACCCCCATCAAACATTTCTACCCTACACTAAGTAAAGAGATCAAAACAGCAAGATTTTACAATTCTTGTCTCAGTATGAGACAACAAGTGAAATGTTACATCATTTTTAGGGTTGACTTTTAGTCCTTCTAGTGTTCCAACTTTGTGACTCCATATGTGTGGTTGGTAAAAAGAAAAAAAAAGCCCCACACAACTTGAATAGGCCCACAATTGTCGTTTCACTTGTGGGGACTAGATTTGCCTGCAAACCATGAGTGATTGATGAATAATAATTAGTGAAACCCAAGCTAAGACAGCCACAAGTATTGCCCTGGGGCCAAGTGTCCTAAGAGGGAGGGAGGGAGGGAGGGAGTGTAGGTCAATTTCACCTTATGGCCAATGGATACAGGACAAGAAGGCAACTGTGGTCCCAAATCGGGATTTGCTATCGTATTAAAAAAATAATGATTTGATGTTACATTTTTATTTTTTATCTAATAAGATTATAATAAATATAAATTTTATTTATTAATTTATTGTATTATTAATACTTATAAATTAATCAAATCAAAATCTACGATTGGATCAACTTTAATACATTCCTCAATTCTTTTCCTTGGTTATCCTTGCCACAAAACTTGCTGCAAATATATGATGGTTTATTGCAGGGAGGGAAGCTTTTTAATAATGAAGTCATGTCTCTTCTGTTGTGCTGGGGAATATATGTATTCACCAATGATTACCCACCACGTCAGCAGAAGAATACAAATTATAATACATTCAGGAAAATGTACATTTTTTTATTTATGATTTTTTATCTTATGGGAAAATTTCCAGTTTTGAGTATGCGTCAGTAATTGAGATAAAACTTTATACCGTTGGTTAATTGTTCGTAAATCTTCAGAGTATCTCTTATAAAACTCAAATTTCGAATTTGGAGATGATAATCCCTGAGAAGAGAGGGGCCTCTTCTATGGTGCTTGTGTTTGGTTTAATCTACTCATCAACAAGCATGCATACTTACAACACACAGACACAAACATATATGCCCGAGCTCACTAACACACAAAAACATGCGATAAACGCGCATGCAAGCATGCAATGAGTTACCCACATATTTTATGAGTTTCTGCTCAAAACCCCTCATTAAGAAATGGTAATTATGAGTTTATAATATCGAAACTTTGTGACTGGCCCTTAAGCAGACCGACGGTGAGCAGAAAGGCCAACTTGGGATTGATGATGTTTGATCAGATATAGGCATTGGCTCAGTTCCTGCAATCCTGGCAGATATATAATAACCAAACATATTTAGTATGCGGAAACCCATAATTAACAGTCTTATGAATTGGGTAAATGGTGCTTAATATATATAACTATATATATATTTGTGGATAGGTGTATATAGATCTACATATACATAGAGTGGTGAGAGAGAATGTGGGTGTGGGTGGGTGCTTTGTGTTTTGTGCCTGTGTGAAGTTGGAGGGGAACTTTATAAATGTATCCATATAATAAAGCATAGTTTTCAATTTATTCACATAAATAGAAAGAGTGCACATACGTAGTCATCCTAGTATATACATATATGTGTGCGTGTGTAGTGTGTCTGTGTGCAATTTTTTCTTCTTCTTTTTTTTTTATTTTTTCAGTTTGGGGGGAAGGAATGTGGGGGGAAGGAAAGAGGCAGTGCAGTTAGGAAGAATGGGGCTGGGGACTCATGCTTGGTGAAGAGATATGGAGAAGGGAATGGGGAGTGAAATAAAAATCCTATGTTTCCTATGAATAGAGCAATGGTGTCATGTGAGGGAGGGTGGATGAGGGTACAAGCTGAGAGAAGCCAATACCCACATGTTTATTCAGTCATCAATGCACAATGGCACCATCTGACTTTCTGAATTTAACCCATGAATATGCCCATACAAATATAACATATTTTGAAATGAGCCATGGAATCATTAAATAAGCACCCATATCAGCATGTCACCATGTCCATTTTTACCTTCTTTTTATTTTTATTTTTTTCTAGTTCCAAAGGTGCTAATCTTTTTAAGGTACAGACATAAAAGGCAAAAGTTGAGGAGGATGACAGTTTCAGTACCTTATAAAAAGAAAAGGCTTACATTGTTTAGTGACCACCATAGACTTATTTACTGAGTTGTACCATTGGGTCTTGTCGAGTTATATTCAAACTGTCCAGCATGATCTTAGTGGATCATTTGATTCAATTAAGTTTTACCACTTAATTATCTAGTTTAAATGTTTTTACCTTGAGTGGTATATGTAATACAGATTTTCAAAATGTAGCCAACCCAGTGTTTTGAAAAGCTCGCCTAAGCGCTCGCCTAGGCGAGAAGCGAGGCGAGGCGAGCTTATCTCGCCTGGAGGACCCCAGGCGAAGCGAACGTGAGTGAAGCGAGAAAAAAGCGAGAAAAAAGCGAAAAAGCGAAAAAGCGAAAAAAGCGAAAAAGCGAACGCTTTATTATAAAAAGCGATTCTGCTTCAACTTTTTTTTTTTTTTTTCCTGATTACAGGTTAGTAGTCTCTTTTATTTTTTAATCACTAATGACTTTTTTTTTAGACTATTGCTGGTCTATTTTTTTTTTTAATAAACAATGTTTCGAACAAAATACATTCCTTTTTTTTCCTTGTGTTGCTGAATTCATTTAGAATATTTGTGGAATGTGGGAGTCAGGCGACTGCACTGCATGACAATTATGATAAAAAAAAGAAGCAGGAGTATCAGAAATGGGGGTAAATAATAGATTCTTCTACAAAGAAGTGTCTCTGATATGTCTTGGTTATACTTTTTCCTTTTCTTATATATATACAAATGGTACCAAAAAGTGGTCTATGCTTATACCATGTTTAATTATTTTAGTACATGTGAAATGTGCCTCTGTTCTGCTTTTTTTTATTCAATATATAATTACATATGAAATTGTTTACAATTGATTCTGCTCCTGTCATGATCATTGTGCTTCTGTTTTTTTTTTAACTCATTCTGCTTATATTTTTTTTTGTTGATTCTGTTGCTGCTTCGGTTTTGCTGTCCTGTGTTGCTTTTATTTTTTTTTATCCTCATTCTACTTCTTTTTTTTTTGTTGCTAATTCTGCTGTTGTCCTGATTCTGCTTCTTTTGTTGTCCTACCCTGTCAATATGAAAATGTATACAATTGTTAGTATTTGTTTGAATTTAAATGTTTAAGTTATGACTGTTATTAAGATTTGAGATATTATTAGTATTTTTTTTAATTTAAATGTTTATGATTTTACTTGCATTTAAATATTTAGTATATATAAAATTAGAACTTAGATTGTTTAGAAATAATTAAACTAAAATATATATTTTTTTTAACTGTTCGCTTTGCTTCGGTAAAGCGTGTCGCTTCGCTTCTCGCTTCTCGCCTAGGCGTTAGGAGCCTTGGTCGCTTCGGTTCGCTTTACGCCTTAAATAACACTGTAGCCAACCCATATAGTTTAGAAGTATTCATAACTAGTTCTATTGTAGACATTATCCTTATCAACTAGACCTTGGCTTCTAGTTCTAGGGACTGCCCTCTTGAAGATCACAACTTCAGCAATTTAGTGGCAGTTTCAATGTGCAAAACAAGAAAAATGAATATTGTTATCGGGGGTACAATTGATTCCAATCTAAACATTCAATACTCAAATAGATATTTTTAGCACTCGGGATTAGGTTGTCTTTGTGTTGAATATCGGGTTCTTGATACTTAGTTTAACCTTATCTAGTGAATTTTGATTCAATTTATGTAACTTGAGAATGAAATTCAAAATGAACCTAAATTTAAACTCAGACCGTAAATTCTAATAAGCAAATTAATTTCAATTTGCTTTTTAATGCAAACTCCCAAAATTTTCCACCATAGGTAACACTTGGGTGGCATGTTTGAGTTGGATTTAAATTTGAATTTTATTACTTGAGTTGAGTCTAAATTAATCTCCGGATGTACTCCATATATCCAAAGTTACACCCCCAATAATCTGTTCACATGATTCATTAAAAAATAAAAACAACAAATAGGCCTGCTAACGAAGTGAATTTGAATCAGATTTTGACTTATTCGAATTTGATTTTAAAAGTCCGATTTGAATATGATCTGATTATTTGACAAATTTTAGTTTAATGAATTATATCCGAATTTGTTAATAATTTGAAATTCGACCCGCTTTGAATAACTTAATTTAATTATAATTTAGTAAATTATATCTAAATTTCAATTAGGTATATCAAAATTTAAAATGGTCAAATATAAGATAGAGAATTTAGATTCAAATTTAAATTATTAATAAAAAAATATCAAAATAGATCAAATCTGAATCAAAATATACTCCATCGACAAATTTACAAACAAATATGTGTGTCCACACGTGCTAGTGTGGGTTTGGAATGAAAGCGTGCTAGGCTATCCGCGTGCGATTGCCCTTATAAATGCAGGCATGTTGTGGAGGCACTAGGTAGTGGTCAAGCCAAAGGACTGCTGCTTGATACTTGCTCTTTAGCACCGGGAGTTATGTACATGTTTGCTATATGCTGTTAGGGTCTATATACAGTAGAGAATACCGGATCAAGGTTCTACTTTTCTTCTAAGCCGCTCTAATTTGTAGACAGCAAAAACATATAGATAGAGACAGATATAAAGATAGAGAAAAAAAAGAGGGAGAGAAAAGAGAGGAATGGAGATAGAGACTGACATGAAGCAATCAAAGTTCAAGAGGATTTGTGTTTTCTGTGGGAGTAGCCAAGGCAAGAAGACTAGCTATCAAGATGCTGCTATTGAGCTTGGCAAAGAATTGGTATTGCTTTTTCTTGTAACAATGGTCCTTTTTTGTTCTGCTATCTCTTTGTTTGTTTTGTTTTCTATGAATGTATGGTGTTTTTTCGGGGTTTTCTATGCTTGGGTTCTTTTTGAATGAGTGTTTTGTCAAATGGGTTTTGTTGGAACATGTTCTTTGCAATGTTCTTTATATGCTTCGAGATGGGTTTTGCTTGAAATCAATCAAAAATTTATTAGAATTAGTTGATTTTCTACAAGTTGGTTCATTGGGTTTTTCATTTAGAATTTTGGGATTTTTTACCTGATTATGAGATGGTTTGTTCTCCATATTGTCATGCAAATGTGCTCTTTTTGAGGTTGTTCAATCAAGAGTGCTTGCATGTTAATGTCTTTAGCTCTGTTATTAAACAGAGCTCTCTCTCTCTCTCTCTCTTTCACACACACACACACAGAAGGCTTAGTTACATTCCTAGTTTAAGTTGCTTTCCCTTTTCAAAACTGGAAGTACATGATTTTGAGCTTGTATGCTTTACATCTACCTCTGTTGCATATATGTCTAGTTCCTTTCATCTCCAAGGTTCACCACTCTTTATCTTCTCTCGCCTAAAGTTTTTGCATTTATACCTCTTTCTCTTCCTCTAATAGATAACAGCACATAAACAAAATGTACTAAGCTCTACTAAATTTGTTGAATGGGTACTCAAACCATTTTACATTTCAATTTAATGTCTGTAAGTGTGCTCTAAGCCTCTAACATGGTGCTTTTATCTAAAATGGATTAGTCAGATATGTTTGAATCCCCAGCTCAGATACTTTCATTCCTCTTCCCAAAAGGTTGCTTATATGTATGGAGTCTGTGGACTCTGTGGCTGATCTGACTTTGCTCTATCGTAGGTCTCAAGGAACATTGATTTGGTCTATGGAGGGGGTAGCATAGGCCTAATGGGATTGGTTTCACAAGCTGTTCATAATGGTGGTCGGCATGTCATTGGGTGAGCTGCTTTCTCTCTCTTCTCTTCCAATACGTTAGTTTTTCCCTCAAAACTCTCAAACAAAGTTTAAAATAACAGAAGATTAGGAAACAGAATGAGTTGGATCTCTTGTTTTAATTGATTTTTCTCTCCATTAAAACTAACTTTTGTCATGTTATTGTCCCTCTGCAGAGTTATTCCCAAGACGCTCATGCCTCGAGAGGTATGTCTGCTATGGCTAAAAAAAGTCTTAGGCCTTTTGTTAAGCAATTCCTTTTCCCATTGTTCGGGTTTAGTTTGTTGTAATTTCTGTATCTTCTTTTCTTTTCTCTTCTTTTATTTAATTTTGGGTCTTTTCCCTTCTTTTTTCTCAAATGTCTCTTTTTAAATTTTATGCTCCATGTCAATCTAGGTTATAGTTTTATCTATGTTTTAAATGCTTATTTTCTGCTTTTTAACTGTTGATTTTTTGGGGTGCTCAAAATTTTGTTTGTTTTTGGTCCTTGATACTTTGGCCTTATCCATAGTTCCACTTGGGTGGCTGGCATCTCATCCCTTACTACATATGTTTTGTGTTTAAAATGGTTTCTCTGAGTTCTTCTTTTTCTGTTTCATCCTTTAATCTGTTCAGCTTGGAGTGTTTCCCTTTTGTGCTTTTCTTCCCTGGCTTTTTCTGTGATCCAAATTGTGTATGAAATACTGGCCTGAAGTTGCTGACTTTAAAGATTTTCAGATTAAGTCCACCACCCTGCAAGCCTCATCATTGCATCACTGCACAAGTGCACAACACTCCATACAAAATTTCAGTCTCTGTGTGTGTGGAGACATATTTCAGTTTTTAATTTTTTTTTTTCTTTCTGGGTCTTGGTACCCTTTTGCAGTTAACTGGTGAAACAGTAGGGGAAGTGAAGGCAGTTGCAGATATGCATCAAAGGAAAGCAGAGATGGCTAGACACTCGGATGCTTTTATTGCCTTACCTGGTTAGTATAAGCCCTGAAAAATCCTCAGTGTTGCACCAAAATTGCAAGGCAAATCAACAAAAGATAAAGTCCCTCAGCTGTTTTTATGTGTCTAATTCTAGAATGCAAGATTCACAGTATCTCTCTTGTTTTGATTCTTTCAAGAGTTCATTGAAAGCCACCTTCTCGGCCAATTATCCTTGGTCTCCTAGTGTCAACCAATAAACTAAACTAGAAAACGAAAATTTTGTCCTCTTGAGTGAAAACACAGAGAACCAAGGGTGTTGAATCTTGTAGGAGTTTTTTAGGATCTCGACTTTTCTTCCTTCAGAAACCACAGTCTACTTGACTAAGTTGTAAAAGAGTAAACAAATAGAGAAGGGAAAGGGGAAAAATATTGTTTTTATTTCTTTGTATGCCAATCTTCTTAATGGGTAATGCTAATAAGTGAATAATGGGTGCATTTCTTCATCAATTTAATCATTTGGGAAAGGGGAGGGACTCACAGGGAGGAGATTATCTTGACATTTTCCTTAGGAAATAGTTGGTTTTTATCAAAATGAATTATTGTCCAGTCGTACAAAAGAGGACCAAGAGGCTATGGTAAAGGGGACATAGAACTTCTCCTGAGAATATTAGTACAGTTTTCTTTCTTGGCTTTTGTATTATGATACCACATATGGTATTGTTAATTCTGTGAAAGCAACTGTTTGAGGCTTAAATGATCACAGCTCTCTCAAGTCTCACAAGCCCCAAGACCCATGATTAGAGAGCATCCCTTCAAACCCTAGTTGTTGACACATCAACATCTTGCACTGAAAATCAGAGTTTTTTTTGCTGTGAATAGCTCTACTTCTGTGATTTAAACTTTCCCCTTCATGTAGTCATAGCCTCTAATGCAACTGTGACAATATTTTTCTTACCATAAAAGGAAAAGAACAAAGAGTCACACTTTCACCAAATTGTTTTTGCCAACTAGCATCTGCACTTGACAGGGAATCATGTTCACTCTTTTCGAGGACTTCTTGTCTTCCTCAATTTATTTCTCAACCCTTGCAGAAAACAAATGAAATATTTAATTATCATGAGACAAGTTAGCATGAGAGACATTACGACCTGAATGGGTTGCAGAAGATTATGTTTCTGATTTAGCAGGTGATGGGAGCAACAAATACCATGTTTTGGACATAAAAAAGAGGTCTGGGGCCAACTTGTCATGTAATTTTCAAGGAAACATGATCATCTTAACATATGTAATGGGATATAATTGCTCTTTAAGTACATTTGCGACAATGGCGAAATGAAAGACTGTAAACAGAGTTGAATAATCCGTTTTATCATCAATTGGTAAAAATGATTAACCAATCCTGTAAGCCATTGCACTAGGAGGTATTCTTCTTTCAACCTTCCTCCTAATAGCAGTATTAGTTATTATTGTCTTGTTCGCATATGCTGTTGCCTCTTCCTCGTATCCTTGGGTTGTTACTCTTTTTCCAATTGATTGATCCTTAAAAGTCATTCTTATCTGGCGGTGTAGATAAAGCAACTGCAAGGTTCTCCCAGATGAACTCAAATTAATCTGATGACAAAGTGTAGTGATCAACTAATGTATTGTATGCACAGGTGGTTATGGCACTCTGGAGGAGCTACTTGAGGTGATAACCTGGGCTCAACTTGGCATTCATGATAAACCGGTAATTCTTGTTTCTTCAGTTTTCTGTGGGAGTGCTAACCTGCTTAACCCATTTGAGATTTAAGAGGCTATGATTTACATTTTACAGGTAGGGTTGCTGAATGTGGATGGATATTACAATTCATTGCTGTCATTTATTGACAAAGCTGTGGAAGAAGGCTTCATTAGTCCAAGCGCACGCCACATCATTGTATCTGCACCAACCGCGAAGGAGTTGGTCAAGAAATTAGAGGTAATCTTTGAAGAAAAGAGAACAGAAAGTACTAAATACATTCTTACCTGCACAAATTTGCTGTTAAATTGTTAGATCTGAAGTGAATGGCTTTCCTCAGTTTGGGATAATAGTGCATTTAGCTAAATGACAAGGGCACTGCATAAAGATCACATAGATTCCTCTGTTTGTTAAGATGTCTCGGACCTCAATAAAAATTTGAATTGAGGACTAGTTTGCTTCTACTAGAGATCCCATTCTGCTTAAGAAATTCTCCAAATCTTAGTAGACATTTGTAAAACAACGCGGAAATGGTTTTCCTTCAATTCCAAATGCACACATTCATATGTTAATGAGATTCATCAAGGTGGCCCCAAAAAACAAATCCATTGATCTCATCTTCACACTATGAATGATGCACGACTTCGAAGCATTTAATTATTCTTTGCAAAAATCCTCTCTCTCTCTCTCTCTCTCTCTCTCTCTATCTATCTATCTATCTATCTATCTAGCTATCTATTTTCAAAATAGTTATATTTGTGGCTAAATCTTTTCTATCTATCTGATGGCAACTTCTGCCAAAAAAAAAGAGTTCTTATGTATTTTACTTTCTTATTATTAGGAGTACGTTCCTCGTCATGAAGGAGTTGCTCCAAAGTTGAGCTGGGATATAGAGCAGCTTGGCTATCCTCAACAGTATGACATTTCCAGGTGAAAACTGGAGCTGCTGCACAGAAGATCTTATTAGATAGAAATTTGGCAGTTGAAAGAGCTAACTTGAAAATTTTAGATTTTTGATGCGGGGAATTCTATTTTTGTAAATTACTGCGGCAAATGACCTAAATTATCTGAAACTTCACTATTCCCCTCACTTGAAAGTTTGGTTTCCTTTATAAGCTGTAAGTACTAGATGCATATGAAATTCTCCATTTATGGTGACTTCACTGTTTTGTTCTGTTTCCTATTGCTTTTCCTGTTGAAGTGTGACTATGTTTACTGGGTTGGACATTGATGTGCTTGTCACTCTTCTTTCCTTGTAATTGTATCAAACCTTTCCTCATCATGATCGATAGTAGAAACATGAAAAAATTTAACACGCCCCAAATTAAAGAGCTCGAAATGGAGGCACAAGCGGCCGAATGGTTTTCGTTTCTGGGAACAAAATTTCCATTGTTCTCATTACCCTCACTAAAGCTCCAGAAGTAATGCCACCAACCCCGGCCATTTTAGTGAGGACACTAGTAACTGATACTCTATCCTTACATTTGGAATAAAGTAGTGAAGATGCACAAAATAGATTTATACAAAATCAACAGTTGAGTGTGTGATAAAGTGTAAATAATAGAGCAATTGAAGGGGCATAAAAGTTATGTCACGTGTAAATGGTCATGCGAGGGTCACATGAGGGGTTACACCCTATGGAGCCCGAGGTGAATTGACCAGGTCGACAGAAGGGCCGAGCAGAAGTCCCTCGGTTAGGAAGATAAGAATTGAATGGCAATATCGAAGCCTATGTTCAAAGAATCTGATTGTATCAATCTAAGCTACAATCAAGGGAGCGTTCGGGAAATCAGGAAGAGACATAATAGAAAATGCCAAATCTTATGGGATAGGTGGTTATTTCTAGAACGATAAGTCAGTTGGAGACTATATAAGCCAACAGAGGATAGTACAAGTATGCAATTTCCTTCCAACAAAAGTTAAATTCTTTCTTTTCGTTTACTAACTTAAGTATCATAGTGTCTTCGATCTTAGGCAGTTTGTCCGTTTTGTAGGAATTTGAATCCAATGTGGGAGTTGCATAGCTTTCTAAGAGGTCTGGGAGATTTTTGATCTCTTACATTTGGTGTCGTCTGTGGGAATTCGTAACAAGAAGTCATGTTGAGACTAAAGAGCACGCTAGGATCGCCGTTGGAGCCCGATCTGCAGCGTGAAGACTCAGATCCAAACTACCGTGTTTCATTTCCTTCTGGACGCAACATCTGGGTGGATATTTACGACAGTTAAGATGAACAGGAGGAGGACAGAATTTCTTCCGCTAGTTTCAACCCTAAAGACGACAAAAGCCGACGTAATGAACCACAAGAAGGATCCCTCCGTGCCGAGGGGGATACTCCTGCCATCATGAAGCTAGTCCAGTCATTGCAAGACCGCCTTGACGCGCACGACGAGATGTTTAGAAAATCATATGCAAGGGAGAAGGCCTTGAAACAAGAAAACGAAGAATTGAAACAGAAACTGAGAAAAGTAAGTGAGAGAGGATTCAGATCACAAGAATCACCAAACCCGTAGGAGGCACATCCGAACACCTGACAGATGGGGACAAAGAACAGATCCCCAGAGGGCTCGGTACCATAAGAAAACTGAACAGCTAGACGGTTAGGAGGATTGGAGGCAATTCATCACAGGTGAACTTGATAGCGGTTGAAACAACCTGAGCAAAGGTCCGTGCGTGATCTCGCACACAGAGCAACCGGAGGATACACGAGAGGATTAGAAATTTTACCATTCACCAAATGGATAGACCAAGCTCAGATATCGAGCAAATTTGTTGTCCTAAGCTTTAAACTATATGATGGCAAAACGGATCCCATTGCTCACATTCGCCATTATAGGCAATTGATGACAGTGCACAGAAAAAAATGAACCACTGCTCTGTACCATATTTCCCAACAGCCTTGGCAAATCGGCGATGAAGTAGTTTGATGGGCTCCCTAAGAATTCGGTAAATAGGTAGTGTCATCTGGCCAAACAGTTTACGACTTGGTTCATAACCAGTAGTCGACAGCCGAAAGATGTTGGGGGCGCTGTTGACTCTAAAGAAGGGAGCTGGGGAGATGTTGCGAGAATACGCGCACAAGTACTTGGGGACAATGAATTAGATAGAAGCGTGCAATCCAGAAAATAGTGGTCACGTCATTTAAAATCGAGTTGCCCAAGGAGAATCCGTTGTACCAATCGTTGACAAGACGACCAACTACAAGTATGGAAGAACTAATGGCAAGAGTCGAAAAGTATGCCAAGGTTGATGACGACCTCGGTAAGGACACGGGAAGAGAACAAACAGGCAAGAGGTAGTTTGGCAAAGATAAACTGGGAAACTCAGCCTGAGAGAAGGGTAAGAACAAGGACAAAGAAGCCTTCCCCTCAAAATCTCCATACATGGGCGTGAGCACGGTGTTTAAAGAACCAATTTATAAAACATTTTCCCAAATCAGGGGAAAACCTTACTTCAAATGGTCGAGCAAGTTAGGAGGAGATCCAGCCAGGAGGAATCCAAATTTCAAGTGCTCTTACCATCGGGATATCAGTCACATGAAGGAGAACTGTCATTCATTAAAGCAGCATCTGGAGGGATTCGCTCTGGTAGGACACTTATCGCAGTTTATCGACGATGGGGGAAAGGATAACACCAACCTCGGTAGTCTCCAACACGACCGACCTACCGTAGCAGGGGTCATAACATACAACAACGCTACATATGTTAACAAGCAATTCGGCTTAGGCTTACATCAAGATGGCTGCTCAGGCTGGGGAAGTTTATCAACTGAAGGAGGGGCGTGAACCACCGAGCAAAAGGTCGAGGGTAGACGAATAGCTCGAACAAATAAGCTTCTCGAAGTAGGACTTGATTGGTATACATCAGCCACACAATGATGCCCTTGTGTTGACTATCAGAATTGCCAATTTTGATGTCAAAAGGGTACTAATTGACCAAGGCAGCTCTTCGAAAATCATGTATTTCAGCCTGTTCAAAAAGCTAGACTTGAAAGAAAAAGACCTAGTGGCGTCCAATACCCCCTGGTAGGCTTTAATGGCAGGATGGTAATGCCCAAAGGAAAAGTCGTACTTCTAGTCTAGTTGGGGCAGGTAGGGACCATGGTTGAATTTCTGATCGTTGATGCATAATTAGGCTATAATACCATCATGGGACGTACCTGGCTACACGAGATAAAGGCGGTTCCCTCAACCTATCACCAGATGCTCAAGTTCCCAACAGCCGATGGAGTGGTCAATATACGAGGAGATCAGGTCAACTTGCGTACCTGCCTCCTTGCCTAGGTCAAGGAGAAAGCATAAACCAGCATCGCTGAGGAAGATCCACAGAAATAACAGTCACAGAGTCATTCCACCAGGGAGGTCACTGACTCCAAGCCGACTTCTTGCGCAGTGGAAGACTTGATAAAGGAATTCGTGGATGACAGTACTAACAAGTATTTTTTGTTTGGAGCCTCATTAACAAATGAAGAACGTGTGAGTATCATTTCACTATTACATACGTATATTGACATATTTGCTTGGGAAGCAAATGAGATGTCGGGAGTGCCTCCCAAAATTTCTTGTCACTATCTTAATGTTGACCCGACATTCAAGCTTGTGCAACAAAAGTAGAGGAGGTCGGCACCACATCATAGAGATACGGTAAGGGAAGAAGTAAAGAGGTTGCTAGAGGCACAGATCATAAAAGAAGTACAATACCCAACCTGGTTATCAAATACAGTCGTGGTAAAAAAGAAGACTAAAAAATGGAGAGGTTGTGTAGACTTCACCAACTTAAATAAAGTCTATCCCAAAGATTGCTTTCCGCTGCCCAAGATTGATCAACTGGTCGACGCAACCGCAGGACATGAAAGAATGAGTTTCCTCGATGCATACTGGGGTTATCACCAAATCTCCCTCGCCGAGCAGGATCAGGAGAAAACGACATTCATAACCCTGAAAGGCATATACTGCTATAGGGTAATGCCCTTCAGATTGAAAAATGCAAGGGCAACATATTAGAGATTGGTTACAAAGATGTTCTTTGAATTGATTGGCAAGTCAATGAAGGTCTACATTGATGATATGGTAGTGAATAGCCGAGCCAAAAATAATCATATTGCCGACCTAAAGATAACCTTTGAGGTCTTACGAAGGTTCGAAATGAAGTTGAACGCTGCAAAATGTGCATTTGGAGTTGGGTCGGGTAAATTCCTTGGGTTCATGGTGACTTATTGTGGAATAGAAGCAAACCTAGATCAGGTGTCAGCACTAACTCAGTTGGAATAGCCAAAAACCATGAAGGAAGTACAAAAGTTAGCTTGAATGGCTGCGGCGCTTGGGAGGTTCATTTCCTTTGCCTCCAATAGGTGTCAGTCTTTCTTCCAAGTGATTAAAAAAAGAACCGGCCCACTCTGGGATCAACGGTGCGTGGAAACTTTTACTAAGCTAAAGACCTATTTGGCATTATCACCACTCTTAGCAACCCCGTCACCAGGGGAGCAGTTGTTACTATATTTAGCAGTCTTTGAGCATGTTGTCAGTGCGACACTGATGAAGAATTCAGAGAAGGGGTTGAGCCCCATCTATTATGTTAGTAAGATGCTTTTTGAGGCAGAAACAAGGTACCTACCATTAGAAAAACTTGCACTTGCACTGGTAAGTGCGGTTCGAAAATTGCGCCACTATTTTTAAGCACACACGATAGTGGTGATCACAGATCAACCACTAAAAGCTTTATTCAGAAAAGTCGACCTGACTGGCAGGATCTCAAAATGGGTAATCTAGCTCGGTGAATTTGATGTACGGTTTGAACCTCGAATGGTTATTAAAGGACAAGTTGAAGCTGACTTCATAGCCAATTTCTCTCCTAGGAATCCTAGTATACCTTCCATGTCACTAGGGTCAGAATCGGATTCGAACCAGGGATGGAGTTTGTTTGTTGATGGGGCCTCA